CGTCGAATTTTAGTCCTTTATTATAACATCTGTTTCTCTTAAAATATTTACACATATTTAACATAAGTTATTCACGCGCGCTCGCTCTCTCTCTCGCGCGCGCACGCACGCACGCACCCTTCCTCCCTCAAGCTCAGCAGGGAAAGCCTCTCTCTCTCTATTTCTGCTCCAGCAAGGGAAGCTTCCTTCTCTTCCCTTCCTCCTCCGGGGAAACCGAGGAGGCGAAGTGACGCCCTCCCGAGATTTGTGGCATGAGCGGCGCCCCCTGCTGGCGACCTTACCACGACCTTCGACGGAGGAGCCTGACCTCCCGGCCTCCTCTCTTCGTCCTCTTCCTCTTCTTCCCGCCGGCTCTTCCCCCGGGACGGATCCCGGATCGTGGCCGCTGACGACCCTGCCGAACGCGTGCGCGCGACCTTGAACTCTGTTACGAACGACCTTGAACTCTACAAGACGCGCGCGTGCGCGAGCTCTCGCGTTTTCTCGCGTCGACCGCTCGCGCCATCTAGTGTGTCCGCGGTGTATTAATAAATAACATGCACAAAATATTGCACCATCATATACAGAAAGAGACACATCCGCTAGCTATCAGGCACTGGTGCTAGGTGAGGGTAAATCGCTGTTAGGTAACAAGTGCAGTTGCTAGGCAACAGGCACCATTGCTAGGCGACCGGGGCCGTTGCTAGGCGACCGGGGCCGTTGCTAGGCAACCGGGGCCGTTGCTAGGCAACCGAGGCCGTTGCTAGGCGACGGACGTGCAACTGTTGCGCGCAAACTCGCACTCGTTAGATAACTGTAACTGTCGCTAGGTAACTGGCACGGTTGTGGGGGTAAACGGTAACCATCGTTGGTCGAAAAGGCATCGCTGCTGGGAAACGGACACTGTTGCTAGGTTACAGACACTGCTGTTGCTAGGTTACAGATACTGCTGTTGCTCGGTAACAGTCACTGCCGCTTCGTGTGGAGAATGTTGCACATAAATATCGAAATAATCGATCATAAATTGCCGAGCCGAATGACTTTCTATACCAGAGACAAATTCACGTCACGTTTGCTATATATATACTATATTTTTCCGACGGATACTAGTTATAACAGTTACTACTAGTCACAAGTAACAATTTAAATATCTAACTTAACAAACCACTGATTCAAGATATGATAGTCTATATAATATGTTTACCAGAGTTTGGGGAAAATGCGCGGGGGTGAGAGGCCGCCCACAGATGCCGTCGCTAGGCAACGACGACTCATTACCGTTGCTAGGCGACACGACGCGTCTGCTTCCGCGTGGAGCGTTTCCCGGGAGACAACATTAAAAGCAGCCGCGTCACTGATACCGTGACGTCAGAGAGACGACGTCTGCTGCTGATGCTGCACGCAGCGTCGCTAGGCAACCAGCTTCCGGCCTCGCACGTTGCTAACGGATCAAAATCCGCCTTCCCGTAGCAGCGTCGCTAGGCGGCGGCAAAATGGAATCGCTCACGTAGGCGTGTGGTTAGTGGTAACCATGGCAACAC